CATAAAGGATCCTGTTACACTACGAGATAATGAGTTAGTTGATGAACATGAATACAGAAAGATTGTGGGAGCCCTCCAATATCTCACCATCACTACAATTGATCTTTCCCATGCAGTAAATAAGGTGTGCCAATTCATGCAAACTCCTACTCTTGCACACTTACGCCAAGTTAAAAGGATCCTACGATATGTTAAAGGGTCTCTTCCTTATGGACTTCGTTTCTCCGCATGTAGTACCTTGTCCTTGACAGGATTCTGTGATGCCGATTGGGCAGGATGTGTTACTACAAGAAGAAGTACCATAGGCTATTGCATTTTCCTTGGAGCTAACTGTATTTCATGGGCCTCCAAAAAGCAACCAACTATAGCGCATAGTACTGCTGAAGCTGAATATCGTGCACTAGCGTCTACAACAGCTGAACTAGTTTAGATTACCTATCTACTTTGGGATATTGGGGTGTCTTTACATTCACCTCCTCAGTTGTTCTCTGACAACATAAGTGCGTTGCATATGTCCATCAATCCTATGTTTCATGCCCGAACCAAGCACATTGAGTTGGATTATCACTTTGTTCGGGAAAAAGTTGCATTAGGAACACTTATTACCAAACACATTCCAAGTGCAGAACAAGTTGTTGACATTCTTACCAAACCTTTACCTCGACAACAATTTCAATTTTTAAGATTCAAGCTAGGAGTGGTTGCCTCACCCCACTCCAGCTTGAGGGGGAGTATGGAGGAGAATGAGCAATCACAGTATAAGAAAGTTAGCGGAGTTAATCAAGGAATTAGGAAGACAGCAAATCAAGCAAAATCAGTGCAGCAGGACAATGGCTATGCTATATTAGTCAAGTAATATTTACATTCCATATTTGTGTACATAATTATAGGTACCAGATATGTTTCTACATTTGTATATATATCAGTTACTTGTACAGAATGAATCAAGGGAATACAATTGAGTATTTTCCAAAATACCATCCTCTTCTTCTTTGTTTCCACAGCCTCTAGCTGTTCCGAGCTTATATCAAATTGTTGCTTCCAGTTGAGAGATCCTTTCTTTTCGCCTGTTTGGTTAGCAAAGGAAACTAAAAGAGAAATGAGAATGAGACGACGAGGAAAAGAGATTAAGGGTCATAACAGTCGAGAAGGCGGAGGAGATTCCAGTGATGAACATTGCTAATGATCCTTACTTCGCTTTCGAAATCTGCTTTTGTTCTCAAGGATTGTACAAATGCTAGTTTCTTCACCGCCACTACATATCCGTTCTTGAGAACTCCCTGCCCATTTTTAACCATAATTTTTCGATAATAGTATAAAAAATGATTTCCCCGCTCGATGATTATTGTTTTGCTTTAACCACATAAAAAATGATTTCTCCGACCAAAAAAGATTATGCGTTATGTAATGTATTGAATTATATTATATAAACTGTTCTTTTGTAGAAGTTATTGTTAGGCTCTTGATTTACACATATAACATGGCATAAATTATTAAAAATGACAATTATAAAAAGTATTGTGTATTATGAAATATACTTAAACTATATAACATAAATTATTATCAAATTCTTCCATTACAAAAGAACTCTTGAATTTGTGAAAGAATTTTGAGTAGAGATTCATTAAATATAGTTTAATTATTTCGTAGCTCATACCACATTTTCTTTCATTTAAGTCTACAAATTGAAAAGTACATTTTTATTTTCAAAAATGTCTTTTTCAATCTGAATACTAAATTTATTAATTATTTTAATCCTTTCATAACTTGAATTGTAATTTTTTGTGCAATTCAAAAAAAAAACACATTCTCTACTAGATATGTCTCACCCACCTTGTATACATCACCGAATCGTCCGAATTTATTTTCCAGACTAAAGTTGTGCGTTGCTGAATTCAGATCTCTGCAACTGTAATTAACAGGACCCTGCAGCCCTGTTGACTCTATTATGCCACCTGTAACCCGAACAAATGCAAATGCATCTTTCAAAATCCAAATAAATCTCTATAATTTCTGAACAGAAATGCCAAAATATTATGGGGTAAAGGAAGACAGTCATTTTTATGGACAAAAGTCTACAATAGATAATTCTCTCATTTTTGGAACAAATTACAGTCAGATTGCCCTAAAAATTGAAGAACAGAGAACTAGCTAGCTTTCTTTTACCTCTTGGTGCCATTTTCTTCCTCCTTGATGATCCAAACCAGATAAACATGGCTAAAACAATTAGTAGGAACTCTATGCCCCCGCCCAGTCCTCCGATCTGGGCTTCTAATTTCTTGCTGAAATTTCCTGTAAAAATCACATTAAAATTTAATTGAAAGATTAAAAATACGTTCTACCCATTAGAAGTTGCAGAGAAATGGAGAAAATTAATTAAGGGTCGGACTCACCGTTCTTGAGGAAGAGAACAATGCTGGTCGTTTGATTATCTGCAAAGAAAGGAGATTCTGATACCTCAAAAGCCATCCCGAATCCATCGCTCGCCCCTTGGTCTTATGAGGGCATCGTTGAATGTCCCTATACACCACCGCCATGCAACCCTTTGCTGATGGTTTCTATGCACTGTGCCACGCCGTACACCGTTATGTTCCCACTCACTTCCTTTCACTACTAAAATTCTCACTTTTAACAACTACTTATCAGCAACATAAGATTATTTGTTGATGATATTGATTTCCACTAACAAGGATTATGTTGCTGATACTTCTACAGTGGATCTTCCCACCTAAAAGTTGGCTTCACATTAAGCAACAAAAGGTGTATTGCTTAAAGTGAATTTCAACAAGGGACATATTGCTGCAATTTTCCGGTCAGTTGAAGCTTTAGCAATCACTACTAAAATTCAAGCCTTCAGTAACAATATATCAGCAACATGGGATCCTTTGTTGCTGAAAATTTGTATCAGCAACAAGACTCATGTTGCTGAAAGTTGCATAGTACATTCTTCCCCTAAAAAGTTGTTTTACTTTCAGCAACAAGGAGTATGTTGCTGAAAGTGAATTTCAGCAACATACCCCATATTGTTGATATTTTTCGGCAATCATTTCCCCATCTAATTAAGCTCCACTTTCAGCAAGATATTCCTTGTTGCTGAAAGTGACTTTTAGCAACAAGAGTTATCTTGTTGAAACTTTTCCAACCACACCTAAAGTATTAGCAACATATACTATGTTGCTGTTATTTTTATCTTTTCACCAACCAAACATCAGCAACATATCCCTTGTTGCTGATATTACCACTTTGACTAATAGTTGGTCAAGGCCATTATAGATATATACCTTTAAATAAAGAGTCGAATCTAACTACAAAGATTCGACTCTCCAATATTCA